AAAAAAAAAAAAAAAAATGAAAGAAAGAAAATGTAAATAAGCCCTGAACAAGTAGAAAGATAGGTATCAACTTTATAGATGAGAAAGCAATATTATAAAGATGTCAATTCTCCCCAAAATTAATCTATAAATTCCATGCAATTCCAATAAAAAGGATACCAATGTCATTAATGGGAGTTTTCAAGCTGTTTCTAAAATTCATATGAAAGAATAAATGTGCAAAAAGGGCTAAAGAAATTTTGAAAAGGACACATGGGTAAAATTTCATTTATCAGACAGCAAAACATAAAAGCATATTGAAGATTCTTCCAAAATTAATATGGAAGAATAAATGTCTAAGAAGAGCTAAGGCAATTTTTTAAACAACAAAGTGAAGATTTTCCTTATCACATAGCAAAACATATTATAAAACTATAGAAATTCATAAGAATACAAAGTTTAAAAACAGACTCAGTATTCAGTACTTTTAGTTTATGATAAATGTAGCACTAAACAGAAAAAAGGGACAGGTGATTTAATTAATGCAGTTGGCTGATGTAGATATGGTATGGAAAATATAAATGAATCCTATTCTCATACTATTTATATAAATGTTTGCTCCATAAAAGACCTATAAAAATTAGAAGACATAACAATATTATTATCTGTGCTCTTTGAAGTAGGAAAATCCATCTTAGTAGCCAGAAAGAGGCATCCAGGAAAAAAATCAAATTATAAAAACTAATAATAAAACTTTTGTATAAGACCCCTTATATAGGATAAACAACAACAGGCAGGGAGAATTTGTAACATGAAAAACAAAGTATTCATATACAGATTGTGTAAGGAATTCCTACTGATCACTAAGAAACTCAAAATAAGACCAGTTAATTCACAGGAAATATTCAGTAAACATATTAAAAGATTAATATGAATATATTAAATAAATAGATTTATTTATTTATTTTATTTTATTTATTTATTTATTTTATTTATTTATTTATTTATGAAAATAAAAGATTCCAAGAAATGAAAGCTATGGAAAATAAAATAAGATGCCATAAAACTGACAAAAATCATTAAAGCTCAGCAAAATCATATGTTGGTATTGGTATTCTAACACTGCTGGCTAGAGCTTAAATTTGCACAGCAACTTTGCAGAGCAATCTGACTGTATTTATTTAAACTAAAGCATGCATACTCTATGATTCCACCATTCCACTTCTAGATATTTATTCTAGAAAAACACTTAGACATGTGACTGTTCCTTTACCCAGTTTATAATATCAAAAAACTAGAAATTATATGTGTCCATGATTAGGTCAACTGTAGTAAATCCTCATAAATTACATATATATAATATATGCTTATATAATTTATATGTATTGCTGAGGCTTTTTTTTTTTTTGAGACAGAGCCTCAAGCTGTCCCCCTGGGTAGAGTGCTGTGACATCACAGCTCACAGCAACCTCCAA